TATCTGGGGAGCTGGAAGATGAGAACTGGCGACTTTGTAGTACAACTGTAGCACGCGGAGCAATCTGTGGAGCTGGAAGCTGAGAACTGGCGACTTTGTAGTACAACTGTAGTGCGCGTAGCAATCTGTGGAGCTGGAAGCTGAGAAGTGGCGACTTTGTAGTACAACTTTAGTACGTGGAGTATCTGGAGAGCTGGAAGCTGAGAACTGGCGGGGGAGCTGGAAGATGAGAACTGGCGACTTTGTAGTACAACTTTAGTACGCGGAGTATCTGGAGAGCTGGAAGATGAGAACTGGCGACTTTGTAGTACAACTTTAGTACACGGAGCAATCTGTGGAGCTGGAGGCTGAGAACTGGCGACTTTGTAGTACAACTTTAGTGCGCGGATGAGTCATCTCTCGCGGCTGCTCTGGCGCCCCTGCAGCTGAGTCATGTCTCCCGACCACCCGGCTCTCTTGAGAGGTTGACGCACACACAGAGACCCACGCGCTGCCTCAACTTACTCGGACACACACACAGACAGAGACTCATACACACACAGACATAGATACACACACACACACAGAGACCCACACTCTGCCCCAACTCACTCGACTTAACACATCACTGGATGCAATATCCAGGCGCCCCAGTTTGGGTGTGTCCCTAGACGCTTTTGTCGTAGCTGGGAACGCTTGTTTTTCCTTCTCTCTTGTCACTTTTTTGCCTTTCTACTCGGGTTTGTGGATGCTTGTGTCATAGCTGTCGTAGCTGGGAAACCTTCTCCTCCTGTCTGGATGCGTCCTTGGACGGTTATATCGTAGCTGGGAGCATCCTCGTTTTCTCTTCCCCTTTTTTACCGGGAGCGTCTGCGAAGGGTTTTTTTCGTGAAAAGCATCTGTAGAACTACGTCTCATCATCTCATCTCATCATCTCATCTACATCTTCGCATTTTCACCCGCAAAACCAGCCCAGATGGTTCCACCCGGCGCACCACCAGTCCAGATGGTTCCACCCGGCGCACCGAGATGGGTCAATCACCAGCTTCCATGACACACGCAGTGAACCCGACCGCACCAGTCTACCGCCAGGCCAGATGCCTCTACCCCCCAACGCCCCAGCTCGTGAAAGGGGCAGCTACAATCGCCGGGCAGCAGCAAATCTGATCAACAGGTACCTACGTGACATGGGTCTTCAACGAGGCGAAGCAGAGTGAACTGATCAATGCCCTCATGGAAAACAGTGGCGGCCTTGAGCGTGTGCAAGCTTACTTCCAGCTGCAGGAGGAGAAGGGGAATGTGCAGTTTTCCCGGAAGAAGGCTCTTCGGTACACCAAAAAACAAATGATTGATGCCTATGGCGACGACGCGGAGAAAGTCATGAAACACAAGAAGAGAACAACTTGATTGAGCCAGATGAGAATTGCTCGGATAGCATTGTTTACTTGGTTGCCCAGAAGGAAAATGAGGATGAGAACTATTCACGATCAAGTGCCTCGATTGTTTAAAAAGATTTCAATCATACATGTTAACGCCAATAGAACGGGTTCAGCAAAAACCTGCTATTTGAGGTACCTTGATGA